TAAAATTAATTAATAATAAATAAAATAACTTCTCTTGTATTTAATTTTACGTGTAAGTTTTTTTTTTTTAACATATCCTCTCATATGTAATCCTAGAATGAATATCAATTCTTGTTAGGAGACTAAATCAATGAGCTTACCAAAAACTAAGTCTAAGTTTCGGTATCATAAAAGAACTTTTAATATAACAAGAAAATCTCTTATATGTAGAAATCTTATAATAATATAAAAATAAAACGAATAAAATAAAAGAAAAGAAAACTTGATATTATGTAATTTAATAAAAAAATATCATGATGTATCAAGATCTTATTACAAAAATTTCTGTTCACGTTTATTTCTCTTCTTTTTATTTTAACATATAAACAATTCTATTTAAAAAACGAAAAGAGAAAGATATATAATATAAAAAATAATAATTAATTAAAATTTTATTATTAAAAAGTTATGATCAATATAAAAATTTTAAATTCAATTAATTAATAAATTAATTCCTAGTGACTTGATCGATCTTCATAATGGAGGCTCCTCGTTAAAATGAGCCCCAAATCAACTTGTAGCGTATAATGGAAAAAATTGGAACTGCGAAACAAATTCATTTGCACGATTCAGGCTGCCATATTTTATTTTGCTACTGTGCTACTTTTTGTTACGGTATTTTTCTCCTTTAAAAAAAATTTGAGACAATAGTATTAAATAATTAAATGTAATGTAATAAATAATTTTTTAGTATATTAAATGATAAATTATATAATAAAAAATAATCAAATAATAAATTATATTGTAAAAAATACTCTTTTTATTATTTTTAATAATTTTAATTTAATTTATAAAAATTTAACATATTATAAATAGTAATTAAAATTTTCTTATTAAGTAAAATATTTAATAAAAACTTTATATATAAAAAATAAATTTTAATTATTATTTATATAAATTATTATATTTTTATATGAAATTTATGTTTAAAAATTTTTTAAATTAAGATCATTAAAAATGACACGAGGGATAAAACATTAAACACCTCCCTGACGGCATGACCCATATTAAATGGACAAAATGTTGGTAAAAAACTAAAACCTACTTTGATGTTGATTTTTTACTTTAAT